TGCCCCGGGGTAATCTGATTTCGGACCCGCCTATGTTCGGCGTTATACGTGCACACTGTCATGGATGGGGCCTATCAGGGTCCTTCTCGAAAATCTGATAGTCACTCAGCTCATCACGAAATTCCAGCCTTCCATGCAAACCAATGACTCGTTGCTATGTTAACAAGGGCCCAAAACTGGACCCTGTCGTAATCGAGACGAATTGGTAAGTACCACTTCATGAAGATGTATGAGGGAGTGGAAGTATAGCTCCACTATTCTTGACCTCGGCACTAGATACGGGTGAGTGGTCAGCTTCACGTTCCGGCCGCTTTATGCCCAGGAAAAGAGCAACCAGTAGATAGGAGGTTGGATGGGCCCCAAGGCCGATCTCGACGCTGTGGGGTACATAAGAATTTCTTCCTGCTGCTGGGAGTCGAACTGCGACCGTCGAATCAGTAGCAGTCGACATACCGGCTCAGTTATACCAACTCCGTATTCTACAGGGCTACAGGATATAACAATATTTGATGACTATGAAAAACGAGTTACAAGTCACGTGGGAGGCAGTGACGTTGGCATATTTTAAGGTGTTTTCCCAAGATACCTAGCGGGGGTGAAAAAGACAAGTGAAAGTCAGTGTCACATCTACGTATCCACAGTCCGTCAATAATGTAACAATTGTTTATTCACCATTTAACACATAACACAACATATTTCGGCCACAGATGGCCATCTTCAGGTGTCTAATTCATCAAAACTGTTACACTCCTCTGATGTGCGCTAAAACCGTGCGTTGCAGTCCACTTAAAAATAACATAATTAAAATCCATTAAAATTTTCTATTAAATTTTTTCGTTAAATCCTATTCTATCTAATAAGGGGCGTCGTCCACTTGTTTAGAGCTATGTGATATTCTAGAAAGTTCGTTTCTGCGGCTTGTTCTTCTGTTTCATTGGCCCGTTGTTTTCTTACGTCTACATTCTGTAATCTACAAAACGCCACATATTGTTCTTGTTTCCTGATTGTTATTATTATTGTTGTGTTGTGTTGGTTTGCTTTATACTCGCATACCTTTCTTGTGTGTTGTTCCCTCTAAACAAGTGGACGACAACCCTTATTAGATAGAATAGGATTTAACGAAAAAATTTAATATAAAATTTTAATGGATTTCAATTAATTATTTTTATGTTATTTTAAGTGGACGGTTTTAGCGCACATCAGAGGAGTGTAACAGTCTGGATGCATTAGACACCTGAAGATGGTCATCTATGGCCGAAACATGTTCTGTTACGTGTCGAATCGTGAATAAGCAATTATTGCATTTTTGACGGACTGTCGATACACAGACGTTTAATTAAGGATTTGCAACAGGACACTAAAATATAGAATCAGTGTCACAGCCGGAATTCGAAGGCGGTACCTCTCGAATATGGATGTGATGGAACGAACGAAAGGGAAAGAGGCCCGCTCTGAGGATACACGCTTCACTGCTTGTCACAATCGACACACGGAAAATATCTCGAACTAAGGAGCTTCTGCAAAGAGATGGTTCTTAAACAATGAAAAGACTAGACGTTTTGGTCGTGCAAGTCGAAACCAATTTAAAACTACTTTCCATCCTAAGTATGCTGTTGGGAAATTTTAATTCACGGATTCGAGCTGAAGTACTGACGTACAAAAAAAAATCTTAAAGTAAACCTAAAACTGAATTCCAAACCAGTAACAAATTCTGCGGAAATGTCATCAGATCGTAATACAGAAGCATTAATTGGGTTAACGAACAGTGTCACTTATTTCCACAGGGACTTGGTGTATTGACAGCGTACAGAATAGTGTGATGCAGAACAAGTAGCGACATCTCTGAGAACATGTATGAACTACAAGACGACATCCTCTACACCGCAACTCCATCTGCAAGACTGCATCGTGAAGTTACACCTCGAGGGATCAGAGGACCTTCGAAATTACCAGTGATATCAAGTTTTCCATGTGTAATGGTAATTCGCAGAATTTGACTGAAGTCAGACTGACTGACGGAAATTTATTTAAACAATTTTGATTTTCACTTCCAGTCCGTCTCCTGATGTTCCACATTTGTTATCATTTAATAACATGTCAACATACTCCGAGCCATGTATCTGTTGAAACACGCATACAGTGCAATAATCAAGGAAGATCACTCTTCCAGGAATGGTCATTTCATAGAATGCTTGCAATATGGGGCCCAGATTGGCCTAATTCTGGTTTTATATGTTATGAAAATTACGTGAAAACTTGTATAAATTTACAACATATTAATGTAATAATTATTTAATGGGGCTTTAAACAGTTCCGGTTAGATGGTGAATAATTATAGATATGGAAGGGAGCATCCGTGCAGCAGTTTGAGGTACTATCCCAGCATTTGCCTGGAGGGACTGAGAAAAACTATGGAAAAACTATGGAAAAATGCATTTGAGATAGCCTGACTTCTGGCCGAGATTTGAACCACAGACCTCCTGTATAAGAAGCAGAGGAGGTACCAATCTATCGTGACATCGATTTAATTGTATGACGGCCATAATTTATGGAAGCGAAAATAAATAAAACCAAGGCAACAATTGCCACTATTACATAATATTATTTAATGGGAGCCGTGACATAGCTCAAGCGGTTAGTCGCTGGCTTCACATCGCGGCGGCCCGGGTTCGATCCCGGGTCTGATCAAGTGGGATTTGTGGTGGACAAAGTGGCGCTGGTGCAGGTTTTCTCCGAGTACTTCGGTTTCCCCTGCCAATCTTCATTCTACCAATTGCTCCACAATCACCATCACCTATCATCTGGGGCTGGTACAATAGGCCAGAAGTGGCCGCAGTACAAGGGACTTAGTCCCACCCCACTAGCAATAAAAGAATATATTATTTACGTTATTATTTTTTAGCTTCGCAATGTAAGCAAGTTTCAGAACCTCTGCTGTAAGTTGTTCAAAACGAAAGAAAAGAGAACACGCCGCGCAGCCTTACACACTGAAATTGTGTCTACGCTGAGTTAATTTCGAGGCCTTAGCTCATCGTTATGAGTAATTACATAAGATACTATTCGCAAAGAATTTCTGAAATCGATATCCAGCTAACGATAAAACTAAGAAGAGCCATCTGGTGATTTGCGGGATATGTTAGTTTCAAATGTTTGTGTCAGTGGATGTACTTGGGGCGGAAATTAGGTCTTACGGGGGTGTGATGATGGATGGTATGTCTGTCATATAAACAGGTGCTCCACCCTCCATTCCTCCGATAATGAGATTGCGTGCTGTGTTGAATGGAGGTTGTACTTCACAACGCACAGTCTATACCCTCAGTAGCTCAGCACAGGCCGTTGCAAGAGCAAAACGGAATATTCTTCCCTCACAAATACGTGGGCTTGTGTGTAATCAATATATTCTGAGGTTGCCAAATGAAGGAAATAGTCACCGTTCATGTCCTCACTGCTTAAAAAGACTACATAACGTAGTGCCTCAAATTAGCAAAGACGTTCTTTGAAGTTCAGCAGCAGGCTCAAGCTCACTTAAAGATGGGAATAATCAAATACAAACTACTGAAGGTCTCCCGTATCTGATCTAAACAAAATGTGTTGAAAGTTTTGTGGGATATATGGAAACGTCCATTTATATTCATGTGGAAACAAGACTTCTTATGAATCAATATGATGATGACAAACGTCACTGTCTGTCAACCTTCAATGAATATCACCCTTATTAAATTGAAACAAAATGTGCGAAACGGTTAATGATATATACAGATAAGTCCATCTATGTAAATTAATGCTTATTATGGATCAATGTGACCGAAAAATGGAGTTGCCTAATAAAATTCGGTGAAAGTCTCGCATATCGAATTTCACAAAAATCTGTAAAGGGTTCATGGCATAAAATTATTTACAGTCCCATGTAAACTAATTAATAAATATGTTCAAATTTCAGAATTCACTGAGAGCTTGTGATGGAAGCCTCCCAAGACGAATTTAACAAAATTTGTGCAACTGTTCATGTGACACACGGAACGCCCTTTTATAGCCTTACGTAAACTAGGCTTTATAATGGAGCAATGTGGCTGAAATTTTCAGTGAAAGTCTCCCTTATCGAGTATTATGAAGATACGAGGAAGAGTCAGTAAATAGGTCACAGATGGAAGTACAACAGCTGTAATGGACGTAATAGGTTTCTTAGGTGTATCACTAGGTAGCAGCAGAGTCCAGCTCCATGACAGTCTAAGTAGCAGACGCGCATGAGCACATTCAAAGGCTGGTTTCAGAAGTCAAAATGGTAATCGTGCTTGAGGAGTGTACTGCCCAAGAACTGCATTCTGTTGTACTTTTTTGTGTGGGAAAAAGACTCAATGCAAAGGATATTCATAAAGAAGTGTTTCCTGTTAACGGTCGAAAGTGTTTGAAACATAAAACGTTTGACATCTGGGTGGTAAACTTTTCGCTGATGACGGAGAGGTTGAAACGGAGGTGCGGAAGTGGCTGAGACAACAGTCAAATGACTTCTATGCTGCTGGTTTTGACGCACTGATAAAGCAAAGGGGCAAGTGTATCAATGTTGGTGGTTAATATGTCGAGGAATAATTTTCTTTTTCGGGTTCGATTATCATATGATTTACGTTTTATATCCATTTGTGACCTATTTACTGCATGTCCCTCGTATATCAAATGGTTCAGGCCCTGAGAGTAGGTCAGTGAGACAGGCTGGCAGAGTAAGAGTAGTCACCCAAGCCCAAAACACTGGGACACCTTCATATCAGAAATATCACGGGGTTATCGCTCAAACGCTACAATGATAAAGTCACAATCTGAAACAGAAAAAGTGACCTTCCATTCGGCATTAGTACTGAGCCTTCAAAAACAGAAATTCTTCTAAATAATATTTAAAAATTCATTTTGTACTCAGTAAACATGTCTCCACTAAAAAATCAACCTGGGTTCCTACTGAGCCTCTCTTGCAATTCTGAACAAACTTTTGAGAAGACGTTTGCACTTACCGGCTCTGAAAATTTCCCCGCAGCCATCGCAGCGGGAAGCGAACTGCGCATCATAGCAGTTTCCGCAGTATATCTTATCGGCCTTGGAGCCGAACTGCTTGTCCACTAAGGACACGCGGCACTTGTTGCAAAGGAAGCAGGCCTCATGCCAGTGCTTGTCTTTGTAGGACAGGTCCTGAAACAGAAAAGGCTCGCATTTATGAGACGTCACTGGCAGGTGAAGATGATACAAACTAAAAAAAAAAAAACAATCCAAATGAGGGCTGGCTACGTCACTATATTGTGACGTGGATGGCGCAACAGGAAACGCAGCGTTCACGTGACCCCTACTGCCTGTTGCGCCATCCACGTCACAATATATTGGTTATGTACCAAACATATGCAGAGCTTGGGGCTCATTCCAAACTCTTCATCTTAAAAGACGGCGTTCTCTTTGCCAATTGTCTTAAAATGCTATAGAGAGTAACAGTTTGCCCTAACAACTTAACATATTTATTACGGGTTCACGGGGCACGCGGTAGCATAGGTGGTTGAGGCACTATACTACAAGACGGAAGGTCATTTGATTTTTTTTTTCAATTTACCTCATCCTTCCAGCCTCACTATGATCCTGGAGTTGACTCAGCCTCTAACAAAAATGAGTACCAGGAATATTCTTGGAATGATCTTAGGGGGTTAAGGGCAGCCGGCGCGTAAGGCTGACAACCTTACCGCCATCTTTGAGCCGATTGTCTAGAAAATGTGGAAACCTCAACATCTCACAACCATATGGACCTTCACGGCCTGTTACGGGGATATCTTTACTTTTTTTACTTACTTACTATGGGATCACACTTCGATTAACTGTTATGTGAATCCAAGTTACTATAGAATCTCATCTCTATTAACGGGTATGTGAATTTGGTTACTGTGAGATCACACTTCGTTTAACGGTTATGTGACTCCACCGTTACTAAGAGATCTCTCTTCGATTACGACTTACTGTGTGGATCCCCTGTTATTATACGTCCTATTCTCGAACAAAGTTCATGTGAATCAGCTGTTACCATGGTGACTCACCAATATTAACGGTTACACGAATCCATTCTCTCACCTTTGAGTCAATACCGATAGTTCTATTGCACTCCTCGCACGAGTTGGCGAACACCGACTCGTAGCACTTGATACAGTAGGGATGGTCATCCCTGAGCACGTAGCGTTGTCCTGTCAGGGACTCGTCACACTGCCAGCAGCAGAAGTGGCCCGAGTGCCAGTCCTTCGACATCGCCTTCGTGTATTCTCCGCTGAAAATCAACTGCAACACAAATACAACGCACCATGAAATACGCGTTGAAGCCCTCATAGCAACTTGAATACTGGCACACAATGACCAAAATGTATACATTCACCTGTTACTGTATTGTGCTTGAATTGTTTGTTTATGGGGACACAAGAAAGCAGGAAAATTATTTTATAGCAACATACAGAATGAGTTCTTCAAAATTATGGTCCGGAAAACAAAAATATATAACTCCCCACCCCCATTTCTTGCAACAGAGCCCTCCTTCACACGCTGGTACTCGCTCAAGATTCAAGAAAATTATGTTTTCCTACAAATCGGAAGATCGCGGGTTCAAGTCCCGATGAGGTCATTTCATTTTTTTTTTAACTGACCTAATCCTTCAAGCCGCACTAGGCCCTGGGGTTTACTCAGCCTCTAACAGAAATGAGCACCAGGAATGAATTAAATAATTTTCCTGGGGAGTGAAGGGCTGCCGGCGCGTAAGGCTGACAACCTTACCGCCATCTTTGAGCCGACTGTCAAGGTAATGTGGGAGCCTCAACGTCTCACAACCCTATGGGCCTTCACGGTCTCTTACAGGGATAGCTTTACTTTTTTTTTTTTTACTTTACTATGGAATCTGAAATTGTTCGCTGCCATATCCATAATAACCCAACTCTGGATTACATCCTGTCCAATTAGATTCCTCACACTCTCCTGTCACACTTCTTTCATATCAATTTTAATGTTAACTCCTATCTGCAGTTAGATCCACAAGTGATCTCTGCCCGTTACGTGTGGCGTAACAGCTTCTTCATTGCCCTCCTCAGAATGTCCAGGCAAACGCCGGGGTAGTACCAGAAAGCAGGACATCCCCACTTTACTATTTACGAGCATTCTGTCATCTCGAAGATCCTAAAGGTTTCTGACGATGGCGTGTAACATTCGGACTTTGTTCATCGTCCGATATTCTACAAAACAGAAAATGTAACTTTTCGGAAACTGGATCTGTTTCCGTCCTCAGGTGAGGGTAGACACCTACTCTGTTGGGTCCCTTAGAAAGAGATAACCTCAACCACTGGACCTTTTTTTTTTATTTAAATTTTGGAGGAAGATGCTGCGGTAGACTTATTGTGCTGATTATTGAGAACGGAGAATTTACGAATAGCTCTTTCTAAGGGACCCAACTGAGTAGGTGTCTTCCCCCTCACCTGAGGACGGAAACAGCTTCCGAAACGTTGTGTTTTCTAGTTTCTACAATACCGGATGATGGTCAAAGTCCAAAACCTCAGCAATTCTGAAACCTGTCATCTATTTGGACTGGTCTAAACAGTTGCTACAGCATCGCCAAATGATTTCTACTAAAAGCCTGAAATGTGGAGCTTTTCAACCTGTTACCCAATCTTAAGATCTAATTAATATCGAACATAAAACTGGAGTTCCATAGTGCAGAGAACAAGTTAACTGTTACTTTGTAACAAGTACATTTCCTTCAAAACGTTAGCATAAACACAGAAATCATTAGACAAACGTGGGTTAGCCAGCCTCAGATCTCAAGCATGCATATCCGCGGCTTTTCGTATATATCAGGTTTTGCTATCAGCAGAATATTTTTCTTGAATCCGCGATTTTCAGTTTATGTACGCATCAAGATACAACAATCTGCAGGTGAGGGGTGGGGAGGGGGGGTGCACTGTAATGCCATCGGAAGCCAGCCAACTTCCGGATTACCGTTTCAGTGCGTCTTTTTGTGACATGTTTTACACTTTACGCTTAACGTTGCTCTTTTTAATATTGTTCGTAAATCTAATAAGCTCGGTATGCCAGTCCAGAAAATACCACTGCGGTGACCTAGGAGTAGATGGGAAGTACGGAAAGGTAAGGTACTGTAAAAAAAAAGAACTCCGTGGTTTTAGTCCGCAAGCGAACTATACCAACCGAGGGACCGCCGCTTGTCGGCGAAGTTACTGCCAACTTTAGCGGATACAGGACGTCCCGTGGTCAGCGCATCGAATCCCCACAGCCGTTAATTTCGTTTTTTTTTTAGACCGGAGTCGCTATTTCCTTGAAATAGCTCCTCAATTATCCTCACGAGGCTGAGTGGACCCCGTTCCAGGCCCATTATTTCTCAGAAAATCTGGTACCACCCGGTAATCGAACCCGGACCTCTGGATCTGTAGCCAGAGGCGGTCAAGGTAAGGTAAAGTTGTCCTAAAATAAAGAAACTGTATCCAGAATGTGGGTTACATTCACGTTGCTCAGGATACAACCCAGTGATAAGCTCTTGAGAACACGTTAATGAACCTTCAAGATCACGCGGAGAAGTTCTCAACCAGCTGCGCCAATATCAGCTTCTTCAATGACTCTACTCCTCACAGCTAATTAGTGAAACTATTCACCCCAGTCACACGTCTTTAAAAGAAAACAATCTGAGGGTACAGATCTCTCTACTCATGCAGCAATACGACCCTTTTTACGAGGTCTACAAGAAAGGTCTGATTTAGACTTATTACGAACTCTCTCACACATCCATCGTCAGCCGGAAACTAACAAGATCCAGCAGGTTAGTGGGGGGGGGATATTGAGTGACGTAATGTGGACGTCAGAAAGGGAAGAATGTCACTGAAGAGGGGGAAGGTCACTGAAAAGCCAACAGCGAAGAACCACCTTTCTACAGGGAACAACTCATTATATTTTATTGGAATAGATCCTCTTCCAGCATAATGGGAACCTATATATAGGTTCATACCTTCTTCACAATAAACCTTTTATAATCGGATGTTACCGGTGGAAAACCCCAGCGCCTGATGATGGAGTCACTTTTCAGTCAACTAATTTCGTTAGGCGGAATCGCACTTGAGAAGTCAACAGTCGGTAAATAGTCAAAAAAACTCACCACTCCTTAAGGAGTCTGAATCTTCATTATCGTGGTCATCACAGACCGCAATTGGTCCCTATCCTGTGCCAAATTATCCCATTCGAAGCCCCCCTGACCCATCCGTTTTTATACAGAAGCCTCGAAAAAATATAGCCGGAAAAACGTGACATTAAATCCGGAAAAAAAGAAAGGAAAAACAAGTCAAGAATGGTTCGTCATTCAGGAGACCAGCGGTTCGATTCCAGTTTCTTTGTGTGGTTCATTTTAGAATACTGCGACATGTAGATCCGTTGCTGGACAACGACCGCAAGATAAGCAAATATACAACAAATATGTTTCCACTGCAACAATTGAACAAGAATGAGGTACGGTGTTTCTGTGCGGTCCGTGCCGAGATGTTATAAGCAGGACAGTTAGTGAAGTGAAGAGTAGTTGGTGAGTGAGTTAAATAACAGCTGTGAGAAGCTGATAGCTGAGGCCGGGGGTAGTTCGGCAACGTCCGCCGCTGGAAGCCGCCACACAGTAACGGCAGTGAAGACGTGACTGTGGACACTAGTGTGTAACAGTAAACTGTAAACTGCGGTCATTATCTAAAGCCCGTCTATAGTCACTCTATCACGTGACACTACGTAGAGTCGAATGGTAGGATGGTTGGTGAATACTGAATTGGAAATGATTTTTAACAAAGTGGTCGTCGTCAATCCAGGCATTTGCCTGTAAGGACTAGGGAAACCACGAACAACTTCTGACAGAATAATCGGTGTTGCGGGCAGAGCATTTCTGGAATACAAATACAGAGCGTAACCACTTCAGTAACCTGCTCAGTGACTCAAACCACACGTCGCCAATTCGTTTTTCTGCTTCACCTGAACCACTGCAGTATAAAGCAAGTCAATGAAGCGACTTAATCTGATCGACACGTATAATCTGACAAGTAACCACGCCCACTTTTAACGTGATAAGTCAACAGGTCAAGGCCAGGCAAACCGAAACGAATCCCAAAATAAATGAGAAGCCACGGCTGACATAAAGTAAAAACACCCTCTCTTGTCGAGCGGTGCTACGAAGTCTGACAAACGGAAATGGGGGTTCCAGAAAAGAAAACATAATACGTCATCATACTTTACATACTAAGTGGGCTGAATGTATTCGTTTTTGAATCCACACACGCCATGACAACGACACGCCAGTTGCCGGTAGGTCTTTCACTGCTCTCACCGCGTGCCTCACAAGAGATTCAAGTTGAAACACAACAGTGTCATACAGTGGATGTCCCAGCACTTATATTTGTATCTAGGCCAACGTATCTTCAACGGAAGTACAACGTAGGAAGGCATACTACATTCAAAATCCACTTTTCCGGCCAAAGATATGATCTTCGACAAACACTCTGACGTGAAAGTTTCAATATTTTCAATAACATCAGAGTCTCCTAACAATTTGGCTGAAAAATATGAATAAATTTATTTTCTCCAAAAGGTAAAGGTTCAAAAAGTAAAGATATCCTTGTAACAGGCCGTGAAGGCACATAAGGTTGAGACGTCTAGGTTCACACATTTCACCTAGACAATCTGCTCACAGATGGCGGTAAGGTCAGCCTTATGCACCGGCGGCCCTTTACAGCCCAAGGAAGATTCCTGGTACTCATTTCTGTTAGAGGCTGAGTAGACCCCAAGGCCATAGTGCGGCTGGATTAAGTAAATTGAAAAAATCCGCCTTATGGGGACTCGAACTCGCGACCTTCCGGCTTGTAGCATAGTGCCTCAACCAACTACGCTACCGTGTGCTCCATTTTGTCCACTAGGGTCCGGTAAACAAAACGCCTGAACATTAAACAAACTGAATCCCAATCACTATTTGACACACCCGTTTTATCATACAGGTAGTAACGCAACAGAACATACGCCAGCTAACAAATGTTGCTACTTGAATGAATGTACGAGGGGCAGGCCTCCTCGGCCCTTGCACCGCGACCTACAGTGGTCTATTGTGCTTAATGTTGCTACTTGCTACACAGGTGCGCAAAACAGCCGTCCAGGTATATATTTGTCAGACCTCGTAAATAATGAAAATGAAAAAAAAAAAAAAAAAAAAGAGAGAGAGAGAGAGAAAGCAAATATTTCTTAAATGTTTATCCCTCCACAAACTTTCATAC